AAAATGGGTAAGTATTGTTGTATACTTTGTTTTGTTTATTTTTTTTATTTAAGATATTAATTGACTCTCTTCCCAAATTTGTAGACAAAACATAAGACTATCAGAATCACATACCTACGTGAGTCTACACATTGTTGTCAAATCAAGTTCCATATCTTACCAAAAAATAAAGAATTCAGGTTTCATATAGGCGTTTCTTTTTTCTTAACCTTTGTTTACTGTTTTCTTTTGCACTTTTTGTTGATTTCTTTTAAGAAAATAAACAATAATATTGTGTTAACTGTTACAAATTTAAATATATTTTTTCCTAAAATGTGTTTGCTTTTAATTTGCAGAATATTTTTAACTATTCAATCGACTTAAAAAAATATTTATACTTTATATGATTTTTTATTCTTCCGCAATCACAATAAGTAACACTTATATGATATATATTTTTTAAAAAATACACATGTAAATATATATATATATATATATATATATATATTTAAACAAGTATATTTACACCATTCATATGGTTAAGAGAATAATTATTATTTATTTTCGTTTTAACATTTGTATTGTGAAATATAATATGCCCCTGCATAGCAGGGGCCATAATACTAGTATTTAATATTTAACGGGTTTATTTACTTGGTTATATGAAAACGGGTTTTGTTTGATCCTCTTTTCTTTAATGTTATTCATTGACCCAGTTATATAAGAATATAGTTATTCTCACTTTATTAACGTAGTCCTATAAATCGTGTTTCTTATTAATTGACAGAAACCAAAATGATTGAGATACTATATAAAATATCCATGATGTTTGTGTAATTTCTACTTTCAACTTGTAGATCCCATTCTTGTTCGATGCTCAAGTGTACCACTTTTTAATTTAAAAAAAGCTCCTTAGTCTGAGTTCAAATTGGTAGTTGAGGTTCTGTGGACGCAGTGGAGGTCCTGGAGGACGCACAAACAATTAATATTGCTTTAAATTTTATTCAACAATGCTAAAAACAATTTTAGCTAGTGGGCTTAATCGTTTTTGTAAATGGGCTAATATATCGCTACTCATTTCTAGTGGGCTGTGATACCCATAAAGTTGTGAAGCTCGTGGGCCTAGCTATTTGGACCCTTAATAGACCCTATAAACCATTAATTATTTGCGACTTATGTTCTGTAGGCCAGCACAATGTATAATCTATATGATTATGTTATCAGCAATTCTATTCGAAAAATTAACTTTCATCAATGTCACCATTTATTTTCTTACAGAAGTGAACTATTAAAAATTACGCATAAGGAAAAAAAACACTAGACATTTGTTCAACTAAAATTTGTTTTACTCATGTGGCATTGATTTATAAGATGCATGTATCTGGTTAGCATCTGACCAACATAAGTTTAAGTTTTAAAGGTGTTCTATTTGCTTTTTGCAATTTGCTTCCAATTGATCGTAATTAGCTTCTGTTTATTGGATATAATTACAAAAACAAATTAGGTTTGAAAAGTCAAAAACGCGGAAAATGTGGTAAAGGACAAAGAGGTACTACATTGAATGACCTTTTTGACAATACCGTTAAACAGTGATAACGACCTTAACCGTGATATAAACTCTGTTCATCTCCCCTTTCTCTCTTTTTGAGTTTTTGATTTTTACTTTTCACTTTGTGTTTTTTTTTTCACTAAATCAAAGGAGAAATCACAAAAAGAAACAAATGAGAAATTTAGATGTTTCCTTTGTCCAACGGTGAGAACAATTGTGTCGGTAGTTGCAATAAATGTGTAGGGCAGAGCAATATTCACTATTTTATGATCCATCAATTACGTACACATATGTTTTGAAATATTGAAGCCAATGTTTTTCAATCGCATACCATAGTAAATATTAGTTTTGTATTTTTCAATTCTTATTTTATATCTTAACATTCCACCTTCGCATTCATATTATATAGTCGCCATTATAAGTTAACTATGATAATTATTCAACGTTTGGAGGGAAAGAAATTTGAGGAAGCATGGAGAGGACCCGACAACCTCTGTCGACTGATCAAGTTGGTTGATAAAGGCGTTTGAATCGGGTCTCATACTTTCGGGGTATGAGAGGACATATCTATAAAAGAGGGATGTTCAAATGGCTTGCTACAAGATCGATAGATTGATAGAGCCTACCTCGAACAGATTATGAAAAAAAAAAACAATGCAACACATTATAAAACGTATTTTTTTTTTGGTTGAATCAATACAACATTCGAATTTCTATTTAGCAAAAACTGTTCAGCGTTTTAATCGGATATTCTGATCAAATATTCAAACATCTTTTTGAAGTTTTCTGAGCATATTGATTGTGCGTGCCCCACACAGTTAGTGTTAGGTAGTTCCTGTATTTAATAAACATATGACGAACTGATTTTAACTATACACTTTTTCTCTTCATGCGGACATTTATCAGAGGTAAACCGTATACATTGGAAAATTATATTTTATTTTACAATATTAAGTAAGGCATTTCTCTGGTGTATTGATACATTTCACCATTAATAACAGTTTTTCCTTTTTTGACACTTAAAATAATATTTTATTATTTAAATTTGAGGTATTCTAAAAATTCATACCAAAATAAAATGAGCAACAAAAAATTAAAATTTTATAAAAAATCGAGTTGTCTTAATCAATCTGTTTGGTTTTGGGCTTTTGAAATATGTGTGATCTTGAAGTCTTAAAATATTTTTATTTTTTGAAATTTTGTTATTCTACCAATTCTGTTAAAATTTTTGACTATTTTCTTGGGTTATGTTCGAGATAATACTCTTCCACTCTATATGTTAAATATTGTATTATATTCTCCACTGATCAAATTAGAGCGTCTAAATCAGAATAAAGCGGTGTTAACCGTTTCTCCTTTTTCATCTCCTTGATCGTCTAGCTGAACCCAGCACTATTAATAAATGTTAGAAGTTCATTTTTGTTTTATTTTATTTGCATAAAGTGAGCAAAACATCAATGTGTTTATTTATTAATCCTTGTTACAAAACATCAATATATATGGAAATTTTCTACTCTAAAACATTAAAAGTTATGGAAAGGATACAAAACTCACACTTGTATTAAAATACATAGGGTTTAAAACAGAAAAATATATAGTTCATATATAACACTTTGACCCAAATAAATGATATTACAATTCATGTATATATTATTGTTTGCAAGTGTTTCTCATTCTGTGAGTCTGTCTGAAGTGGTTTCACTGGTTAAAGCTTCATGTAGTTTAAGAGTTTGTGTAGGTTTCAATCTAGGAGTTTATAGATGTTGGATGTGTTGAATCCGTACCCGAAAGTTGTGTGGACCGAGCCGAGTTCCCTCTTATTGGGTTATGAAGTCGTGGTGCTCTAGTTTAGTTGATGTTATCGTTTGGCGGACGTGTGCATCAGCAATAAATTGTGGAGTATTGGGTGAAGAAGGTAGATAATTTTGCGTTGCGAACGATGAGCAGCAGCGAAATTTCCCCGATCATTGTATACTATTTGGAGTTAAATTTTGTTTATTTAACTTGTTAAGTTGCTAAATCTTAGTTAGCATGTTTGTTTGTTGCCGTAAATCACTTCGGAGTGGGTTCTAGTTGCTTTCATGTGGGTATTTGGTTCTGGAAATTATTCTTTCATCTGCTAGTTTGTGTATAAGGTGTGTTGAATGTTTGAAATAAAATGGTAATATTTTGACGGAAAAAGATATTATATTTATGTATATATAAACACGTAAATATAGGTATAAAATTTAATGTAGGTTTCAGTTGAAAGGGACCATATAGGATTCCATCCTCACGAACCACCAACTTTACTGTAGGAATTTATAATTTTGTTCGAATATCAGTTACAGTTGCAAATCTTTTCAAAGCCTTTTTCCATGATACAATAAAATAAAGGGCAATCGATCTATTAGTCGGTGTGAACAGTAGAGAAATCATTTCAGGTATAGTTACTTTGATTACCCGTTGGAAAATTTTAGGTCCAAATCCAGAACTTTATGTCCTTCAAAATAATCTAACAAAATTCTACTTAAGCTGATTACTTTATCAAGTATTTTAACTAACCTAGAAAGTCAAAGGTTCATGTCAGTAGGTCTCCATTTCCTCTATTTTATTTGGTGAAGTTTCTCGTTAACTGATTTAACTACTTTACTGCTTTTTAGAACAAAAATAAATTAAAGCTAAAATGGTTGCTTTAAGAATATTTTACGGGAACTACTTTACCGTTGCATCCCGTATATTTATTTTCTAGTGATTCAAGAATAAAATAAAATGTAATACAGAAATTTTACATCGGTAAATCATGAAAGAATATCGTGTTACATTCACATCCACGTCTTACTTACATGTATTCAGGTAACTGTCTGTGTAAGACGTGCGAAAGTTACTTAATTACTACGCTAATCTATGCAAAATTTGTGGCTCATGATCCCAATCCTCCGACAAATTTAATATTAACGTCATTTATAGATCACATCTGCTCACAAAAGACGACAAACTCCTTTTAAGATTTGATTTAAGTTATTTTAAAATCTGTACTAATTATACTTTATATTTTTGCTAAAAATCGCCTTACTTTATGTCATTATTGCACCATTAATAAGCAAGATTCGTGTGATCCTGCTACTTTATATTTCGACCAAAGAGCTCACACGTCTTACTTTTGGTCGAGGAGCAAGCACATCTTGACTGAGAACCGCATAAAAAAAAAAACTACCGAAACAACATCTGAGAGCTTTTTGACCGACAAAACTGCCATTCGGCCGATTTGTTATCTATTCATGTTGTTATTTACGTTTTAAGTCGAAACTAATGTGCATATATTAATTTATATATAGTGGTTTAACGGTTGAGGTTTCTCTGTACGAGTCTTGTTATGAAGGATACGTAGGGTTCGAATATGTACATATTGCATTTTAATTATGGTTGGTGTTATATGTGTTAAATGAAAATATCAATCTATTATTCCACAAATGTTTTGAAGTTTAGTTTGGTTTTTGGTTAGTGACGATCTCACATTTGTCTAACACGGACATACAATATTATGATACAAACGAACACACATACATGATACATGTATTATCAAATTAAACTAAACAAGATAAAACTAATGAATAATATATGTTTTCTTATAAGGGTTGCAGGCATGATGTTAAGCCAAAAGAGGGTCAAAGATAAACCCTAGCTACATTGACTTGTAATATAAGAAACTTATAATAGATAATAAGAAGAGACCATGATGGTTAACCCTCAAAACGAGATCATAAAATGATATATAAAGAACAACTAATCAGCATATGTCTTAGTTATTCATTAATCAAGCTCCTAATAATGGCTGCTTGTGGGCTATTAGGATCAATGGTTTCCAGAAGCTGAGACAGACGGTCACTGAGATCATCGGCTTCTTTGTTCAAGTTTCTTATGTAATTGCAAGTCTCTTGTAACACCTTCGTTGCTGATACCTGTATATTTTAAAGAATGTACATTTTACAGTCAGAAATCAAATTATATATTCAAAGCAACTCTTAGCATGGAGTAATAATGTGTCTTAATTAATGATCTAGTAGGATATAGATGATTATTGCTATGCATACTACAATATCATGCATTGTCATAATAATAAGTTAAAGATAAATGTACATAACTTACAAAAATAAAACAGAAACTAACACATTGTTTTGCATTGAGAGAAAAATTCAAGTACTGACGTGTATTAAACGAAACGATGCTTCCATTTATAGAAACCGGCTTCTCTCTTATTTTTCAAAAGTTCGTCCTTTTCTAGTTTTTATAGAAACCAAGTTAACTAGTATATAATACGAAAAGAACAAGTCGGTGCTGTACATCAATGTATTGAATTGATAGTCCGTGAAGCAATATAGTCGTTTCACATTCAATGCATATAATCAAAAATATAGGTAAAATTAATTATAATTAGCTTAATGCTGAAGTTAGGGGAAATATGTTCCCCTTTCCTCAAAGTCCGGTTTATGGTCAAAAGTCTTTTAGAAACTTCAAATCACAATCTCCCACATGTAATTACTATAGTATGACTATATGGCACTGTTCCAACATGTTGTAATGTGAATGTCTATTAAACATAGTACGTAACCCTAAGTAAAATTCATTATCATATCATAAAACTGAAACTTATTTAAAAAATATTTTACCGTGTTGGAACGACGGTTCTGGCGAATCTCTGGAATGGACTGTCGGAGCTTTGAGATAAGATCAGTGATCTGATCATCGCTAATCCTGGATGATGAGCTTGCTTGTCTCGACCTCCTGCTAGATGACATTTTAAAACTTTTTGTAGAGATTTCGAATATGTGAATCCTAGAAACACTCTCTCTTCTTGATCGCTTGTGTGTTAAAGAAGAAGTATAATTGTTGTGTTTGTTGAAAGAAAGGGAGAAGAAAAAACGGTGTTATATAGAGGGTTAGGACCACTTTTAAAACACCCCAATGGGATGGTTCTAGGCTTCTAGCTCTTGGGTTCTAAAAATACATATGTATATATTATTTATGTGTATGTAACTGTGAGATTCTAAGTTTTATGAAAAACCTAACTGAAAAAATATTAGTATAGATATTTTCGGTTAGATTTCTCATAAAATATAAAACTCCGCAATTACATATATGTATTTAATATATACATATCGATATATGTATTTTTAGAATTCAAGAGTTAGAATTTCCATTGGGATGCTTTTAGAGAAAGAGGAATACAATAAAATTTAATTGGGATGTTGGTATGACTACGACAAGTGCATAAGAGAGCAGTGGTTTAGAATTGGAGTCTTGGATACAGTCACGTGATTTACAATTTATTAGACTGAGATGTATATATGTGATAACTACGACGAGATCAATACATATATAGAGACTAATTTTCATAATTTTTAAAATGTCAACTGAAATCTGTTATAAGCAAAGAAAGATAAATTAAATGAGTTAGAAGGAAAAGAAGTAAGAAAGTATAGAACATCTGGTTTCAACATGTTCAGAGATAAAAATCAGAGATTATTTTGGAGAGTCTTCACTTGAAGTATCACACGATTCTTGCATCATAAAAAAAAATGAGTTTCAGTAAAATATTTTATCATTTTAAAATTTTCTGTTTCTAAATTGTAACCAAAACTCTTATTCGAAATTCAATTTTTTTTTAAAAGCATAGAAATACAAATATTTACTGTGGATAGCTATTAATAGTTTCAGCCAATAAAACAAAGAACATTAAGTATCATCACTTGACTTTGTAATATTATACTAGTAAAGTGTCATATATAGAGAGAGAATCAATCCTATATCCAATCGATGATATCATGATACGTAAAACCAAGAAGATTTTGTGTATCAGTTAATGATATGGGTAAGATAAACACGATGACTTCACTTAGGCCATTTTAGAGGAACGTACGGTATCTATCCTAACAACTAGGGAGGAGCTAGTATATCTATTTCACGGCTGTGTATAACTCAGGTATACTCAGTAGATATCTAGTGTATGCTTTGGATATTTATATCCCTAAATGAAATTACATCAACCCACCGAACCCAATTACCTCAACCTTTTCTAAGACCTATAATTTTACTTTGAAAAAAAAAAAAAAATCGCGGTCTCCTAAATTTACTGAAAAATCTAAAATAATTTTTAAAGAGAGATGTAGTCTATAAATGGACTTTTTTCTTTGAATATTCAAATGTACTATAAATAATAGATTCATGTTTACTCACATGATGAAGTATAATAGTAGGTGTTTTTGAACCAAGGTTACTTAGTAACCGAAGTCTATATGCCACTAGATCACCATCACGTGGTTAAAACACACACATGATGGCGATGATGATATGGAAAATATATGAATGAGTTATGATGATAATGATAAGTAGATGCATCATACAT